GGGATGGCCACACCACAATCCCTTCTCCTCCACTCTGCTCTTGGGCTCTTGGGCACACACGCACATGCACCCAGCGTGAGTTTAAGCCACCAGATCCGAGACTCGAACCGCGGTCGACTACATGGGAGTCCAGCAACATAGCTATTACTCTAACTGCTGGTCCCTGAAAGAACTTTTCCTTTATTTCCTTCCCTCTGAGAAGCAAGACATCGCTGTGTCAAGAAGCATGGGTGTTTCCTCCTGCTCAGAGGTGTCTATGCACCGTCTCACGGACTGGTTACTCCCCACAGAGATGAACGGCTTCCTTATTCCCACCCCACAGAGGAGGGCCGAGGATCCAGCCCCGTCTACACCCTCAGCACCTCATACTCAAGTTCCCAGTTAAAGGGAACTTCCAGGGGCCGGCAAGTGGCGTGGTGGTTAAGGGTGCTGGACTCCCACATGGCTGACCTTGGTTTGAGTCCTGGACCTGGTGGCTTGCTTTCTCACTTTGCCTCGCCCGCGCTCTCTTTCTCACTCACTCACTCTGTCCCTCTCTGGTCAAATTAAAATAAATAAGTAGCTAAATTAGAATCAAGTTAAAGAAAATAATTCTTAAACAAAAACGAAAGTGACCTTCCATGCGCTTCTTTCTAGCACCTGTCCCTCCTCCCTGGCCCATTACACAGGCTTCCCAGGCCCGAGTGAGCTGGCTTGGCGAAGCCGGGGGATCTCGGCAAAACCTGCTGGAACGCCAAGGATGCTGACGACTCCGAGGGTTTTCTGGCTTCTTCCTCAGCTCACGACTGCACCCTGGAGTGCTCTGCTCGCTGGGTCAGAAAGAGGCCGCTCTCTCCCATTCATTTAGTCCAGCCCTTTACACACCCTTTTTGTTTTAGGTGGGGGAAAAAAAATGGTCATCTATTTTGTCTCTCACTTTCAAAACAAAGAAAACTGTTTCTTGCATAAGACCGCACTTGTGCCAGACAGATCATTCGTGACACGAAGTCTAGCACTGGCTGTGCTACGAGAATGCTTAAAATAGGGGCCAGCAGGTGGCATAGTGGTTAAGGCACTGGACTCCCACTTGGCTGATTGTGGTTTGAGTCCTGGCCCTGATGGCTTGAAAATCATGCCAGGGGGGTGTGCCCACAGGCCCAAAATCCCGAGAGGAGAATGGAAGAAAACAGATTGTGGCATGGCCATCCCACCATGGGGGATTATTTCTCATTTTCTCTCTCTCAAACAACACATACACCTTATAGCAAAAAACAAAAACAAAAACAAAACATAAAAACAAACAAACAAAAAGGATGCTTAAAAAGAGGAAAAAGGGAACAAGCTCTCCAGTATGTCAGCTGATTAAGCAAGAGGTGGTCGTTCCTGGTGCCCATCTCTGGTCCGCAAAATCCTCCCCACTGTCAAGGCCTCAGCCGGGCGCCACCTCCCCTCTAGGTAGATCTCTCATTCGAAGTCTCTCTGCATTCGAGGGTACCTTGCAGCGCAGTTAGCACTGAACCAACGTGCATGGTCATTTACTCTCCCATATGAATGTCAGGTCTCCTCCGGAAGACTGAGATTTTTCATGGATGAAAAGCCTCTCTTCATCTTTCACGTGGTCTGGCCTACCCCCTTTTTTTTTTGGTGGGGAGGAGAGGTTTTTGCGAGAGGGCACATGCGCTCGCCAGAAAGACAGAAACAGACAGAGAGACAGAAAGTGAGAAATCACCCCGCCCCCCCGCCCAGAGGTGATGGCCGTACCACAATCCCTTCTCCTCCATTCTCCTCTTGGGATCTTGGGCGTGCATGCACATGTGCCCAGCATGAGTTTAAGTCACCAGGTCCAGGACTTGAACTGTAGTTGACTACATGGGAGTCCAGCAACGTAGCCATTAAGTCAACTGCTGGCCCCAGTCTGGCCTCTCATAGCACTGGGCTCAGTGTGGGTGCTCACGACTTACGCTTGGTTATTATGAAAGAAGTACGTGCACCGTTATTTAGCAACAAATGCGATCATTTCACAGATCGCTGGGCAAAAGACAAGAGCTTGGTCTCTGACTTCTAGACAACATTCTTCTACATTTAACAGGAAAATACATGGGACTTGGGTATGTCTCACAACTCTAGGAACAGAACAAAGCTAGAAAACAAGTTGATTTTCATAATTTGGCCAAAAAAATTTATGTTAAAAAATGTAGTGTGGTACTGAAAACCTTGGCTTCTGAAAATGGTACATCAGGTGATTCTCATGTGCTAGTGAAGAAATCTACCTCCACGATGGGGCCGGCAGGTGGCGTGGTGGTTAGGGTGCTGGACTAACCTGGCAGCTTCCTTTCTCACTTTCTCTCTCACTGTCCCTCTCTGGTCAAATTAAAATAAATAATAAATACATAAACAAAGTTAAATAAAAGAATTCTTTTTTTTTTTTTTTAAAAAAAAGAAAGAAATCTACATCCATGCAACTAAAATATCACATCTCCTCTTTCAACTCTATGAGCTGCAGGTTTGACTCATCCTGGTGGTGCCAGCACCAAGCAGAGCACAGACCCCGTCACTGCAGGGGAGGGGACAAACCATTGTCCTGGATGGTCCCCCCGGAAGTGCAGAATCCTCTGGTCAAGAGGAAGACCAGTCCAGAGAGAACACTTGTTATGACCGACCTCTGTCCGATGCCTTTCTAGGGGCATGTAGATAATCCAGCAGTCTTTCACAACTCCCGGTCTTCAGAGCTCAGAGTCACCACAGCAGGTTAATATCACTTTGCACCTTCCCTCACCTCAAAACCACATGGGTATTCGCTTAGTAAAATGAACCTTTTATTTGAGTACTGCCTATGTTAACAAGCCAAGTGCTTCCAATGCAAAGGTGGGCTTTGCTGGAAGTGTTTCGATTCTGTTATCTTCAGGGACTCACTGTTGGCTTGGAAGCCGTAAAATGACCACCTACACTGTGCACCCTTACGGGCCAGCTAAGGCTCCTTATCCCCCGAGGCTTCCTTCCAGCTTCCCAGCTAAGACTTCCAGGGGAAACTCCACAGACAGACTTGGAGCTGGGAATCTCAACCTCAGGGGGAAACAGAATGTGGCAGGTGGTCAGGACCGGACAGGAAAAGCATTTTGTCTTGGTCCTTTCACAGTCCTATCTACCGGGGTCCACTGGGTAAGTGCCTGCTGGCAGGGATGCATTTTAGACAGGAGTTGATCTATCAGGCTCTCCAATGCCGGCCTTTCTCATACCGCTGCCAATCATGTATCTGCAAAGCAGCGACCTTCTGTAAACACGCTCAGAGGCTTAGATCAGACAGAAAAGCTAAGGACAGCCAAGGAACACTATAAAATACATATGGGGGGGATATGTACTTTTCTCCACAGCAACTCAAAATCAGTACTTTAACACACCCTCGAAACAATCTCATAACGATGATGGAATTATCCTCATTCGTGACATGGAAAAAGTAGAACGTACAGATAACTTCGTGCCACGTGATCGGTAAAATGACTGCCCGTAGTCAGGCATTGACACAGCAAGGACATCTGGGTGGAATGGATCAGTGTCAGCCCAGGGGGACCGTGGGCTGAGGGTGACTCTGGAATCCTAGATCTAGCCAGGGCTCGGTCTCTGGGCTGTTCCATCTCACCCTCTTTCATCTGAACACCCTCACTTTCATGTATCCATGTCGAAATGAAAGTTTTGAGAGGAGAAAGCTGGGTCCTTCCTTACTCAACTCTTGTATCTGCAAGGATTCACAGATAATAATCCTAAACTCGAGTTAAATTTTGCAGCTGGGTTTCCTCGCTTGATATCTCTCCAAGGACTTAGCTGGCTTGGCTCACAAGTTCTGGATTCTCTCGTCCTAACTCAATGCACAATTGCTGGCATTCAGCTGCTAGTGCCACGGCGTTCGGACTCCAAGTTCATCTCTCTGGGCCTTTCTCCTAAAAGGGTGAGTGCAGAAACAGCCTCGCAGAAAGCTCCGGGGCTGTTTGACCTTAGCAAAGGCCAATCTGTCTGCCCCCCCTCCGGGGATACCTTTGATCCTGACTATAAACAGCTCGGGGTGAGAAAGGTCCTCTAGTCATGGGAAAGCCTGGTCTGCCGCTGCCTTTGGTGAGTTAATGAACGACTATTCCCTTGTGGTTCAGGAAGCTGCTTCAGAAATACGCTCACCTGCAATTGTTCAAGGAGGTCAAGGTTCTGTTTGCGTAAGCTGCTGTTGGTTTTCTCTAATTTATCCATTCTTTGGTTGTCGCTGAGAGGAGAGGAATCGATAAGTTCTTCTTGAAGCACGTGATACTCAACCTCATATGCTTGTAACTGTTTAGCGATGTCCATCTCAAACACCTGTCACATGCAGAAGAGGAAAATGAGGAAAATCTCTCACACACACGCATGCATGTGCACACACGTGTGTGCGCACACGATCATGCCAATGCACATACACTGCGTATTTCCTTCAGGCTCAGCCCTCTGCCTGCAAAAGTGATAAATAAGGGGCCAGCAGGTGGCTGGTGATTCAGGTGCTGAATTCTCACGGGGTTGACAGTGGTTTGAATCTCGGATCCAGTGGCTTGAAAATCATACATATGTGCATGTATGCCCCAAATCCCATGACAGTAATGGAGGAGAAGGGATTGCAGCATGGCCATCCACCCCGGGCGGGGGGTCATTTCTCACTTTCTGTCTCTCTGTCTTTCTGGCGAGTGCACATGCCCTACAGTGAAAACCCCTGAAAAAATAGTTTATTTTTTCTTATTTCAGTCCTCATTTTTTTTTCTCTGAAAATTCAGTTAGGTTAGATTCATCAAACATAGCTTAAAAGGAGGGGAAAACAAAACAAAACACAACAAGTCCTATGTGCACAGTCACCAAGTCGAAGTTGAATTATAGTTCAGCTGGGTTTTCGGAGTTATAAGAACAGCTAAGTAATGGAACTGTTTACTAAAAAAACCCTTCTTTGCACACGAATATGCAGAAATGAGCCATAGCTCAAATGTCGCCCACACAGATGAGTGAATGCGAAACAATGCCCGAGCTGTCTCCCTTCCCATAATAGGTAATGGTGATGAAAAACCACACGTGTGAAAAAGGACCCCAAGCACCCAAGTGGCTCAAGCTGGGCACGCCTGCACTTTCTCCTGGGAAGGGGACCCCAGGGCCGGCAGGGGCAGAGCTGAAGGGGAACCAGACCACAGGGTATGCTGCTGCCAGCCAGCCTCCCTCTTCCTGTCGGTTCTGAGGGGTGACACCATCTGGCCGGGCCTCTTCGCACATGAGGGGGGCCCCAGTGTGTATCTGGTGGAGACCAGGAAAGTCAGCGAGATTAGGGCGTGCGTTCAGAGAAAAAAATCCGATTTTACAAGGGCAGGAACTGCTGCTCTACGGTGTTTCCTTAAGAAAGAAAAACGGCAAACTGAACCATACTCTACTGCGCACACACACAAACCCAAATGCACGCACACAAACACACACACACACACACACACACACACACACACACACACACACACAGCAATAGAAAGAAAGAAACTAGGGACCAGCAGATGGTGTGGTGGTTAAAGTGCTGGACTCCCACATGACTGACTGAGGATGAGCCCTGGACCTAGTGGCTTGAAAATCACACTGTGTGCGTGTGCGGGAGTGCCCAAAATCCCAAGGGGAGAATGAAGGAGAAAGGACTGTATTGTGGCCATTCCCCTGGGGGGTGCTTTCTCACTTCCCCTCTCATTGTCTCTGTCTCACACGCCCTATGTCAAAAAACTTAAAAAAAAAAAAAAAAAAAAAAGAAACTTGACACAGTTAAAAATCAATAAAAATACTGGGACCAGCAGATGGCATAATGGCTACGTTGTTGGACTCCCATGTAGTTGACCGTGGTTAGATTCCTGGACCTGGTGGCTTAGATTTATGCTGGGCACATGTGCATGCGTGCCCAAGATCCTAAGAGAATAGAGAAGAATGGATTGTGGTGTGGCCATCCCCCTGGGGGGTGATTTCTCACTTTCTGTCTCTCTGTCTCTCTCTGTCTTTCTGGTGAGCGCACGTGCTCTATAGCATAACCCTCTCAAAAAAAAAAAAAAATCAATACAATACTAGCTTCCCCTAGGTGGTACCCTATGAGCATTCAAAACTAGCCTGTTTTCCCTAAAACCATCTTTCAAAAACCATGTTTACTTTCTCGCCCTTTTCAGCAGTCTTATTTTCTCTCCCTTGAGATTCATTTTTCGATTTCCTAATTTTCCATGTGATCTGGCAAATAACACAGAAGTAAAGTTATGCGTGAAAACGTGTGCGGGGTGGGGATGGGTTTGAGAATGAGGGTGAGTGCGGGCGTGGGGCTGGGGAGAAAGAACAGTTTACTGTCCTGATTCTGTTCTGTCCTCGGAGTGACCCTGAGGTCAGCAGGCCATCATTGCCAGGTCACAGCTGAGCTAAGTGACTCAAGGCCTTTGAGTCAGCCCTGGAGTCAGGACCCCGCTGGCAACTCCCTGAAGGACTTTGAGCAAGTGACTTAATCTCCCTCGGCCTCAGTTCCTAGCCTCTAACACGACACTCATAACACCTACCTCCCAGCGTCACCGTGAGAACCAAATGAGACAACATGCCCCCTTAGCTCAGGGAGGTGCCTCCACACACCTGTCACGGAACCCGCGCATGTCAACCTCATGCCTCAGCAAAACTACAAAGGCTGCCACATCATGGAACTGCTGAGAAGTTCGAACAGAGTAACAACCACAAACCTTAGAACTGAGATTGCTGTGGCACTGGTGTGTAATTATAAATACGGTACTTGTCTCAGTCCGCTGGGCTGCTATTATGGGAAACACGCGCGACTGGGTGATTGCTCAAGAGAAGAGGTTTATTGGGCTCACGATTCCGGTGGCTGTAATGTGCAAAGGTCTGGGACCAGCAACTGGCCGGCCTCTGGTGCTATGTAACAATGTGGTCAAAAGGCGGCGTGTGCAGAGAGACTGCAGGTAGCCAGGGGTGCTTATAACCGCCCACTCTTGTGGGAACTATTAGTGGGACCTTGGTACCTCCCAGGAGCCCACTGGTCACTCATGAAGGGTCTGTCCCAAGTACTTCCCACTAACCCCACCCTCACCACTGCCCCACTGGGGGTCAGTTACAGCCTACATTGTTGGCAGGCACTCAAACCCTATTAGTGCTAAGTAAATGTCACATACACAATTGCCTTGTTTTCTTCCAGAAAGATTTTTTGGTTTTCTTCCAGGCAGATTTATTTTTAAATGATCTCCTAAGCTGAAAAACGTAGGAACAAAACCTCTGGCCTTTTATACAGACTGAAGCGCTGCTGAGGTTAATGGTGCTCGGCTATGCCCAGTGTTGTACACCCGTCCGGGCCCCCATTAATCCCCAGGAACCATCCTGGGTCGCAATCATTTCTGCTTAATTGCATCATTATCTCCTGACTGCCGACACACTGACAGCCCTTCGTTTTGCAATTATTCTCCAGAACTCATCCCAAACCATGGCAGGAAGTGGCTGGTGGTGAGTGAAGAACCTTATCCCTAAACAATTCTCTTTGCTCTTGAGTCAGAAGACAGGAGGGGTGGCAGGAGCGGCCTCTGTCCTTTACCCCTGGAGGGCACAAGTCACTCAAAGCCAGTGCCGGTTCTTAGCCAGAGAAAGAACAGGAAGGCCTTAGATTAAAACCTGACCCCAGCCCAGCTGTGGTGGTGGAGGTACAGGGTGCCAGTGCATGATGTTGAAGCCATGGAGAGCCGAGGTGAGACCGGGTCTGGGCCTGCCATGTGCCGTGCTCCTGGGTGGTGGGGACGACTGCAGCGTGGCAGGACGCTGTCAAGGACACCTGTCTCTCTCGCTCACGAGAGAAATAAAAAAAGAACTGAAAAAAAAGTTAAAATGCTGATCCTATAGTATGTTGTATCAGAGAAGCCTAAGTAGTGGACAAAAAGGAGGAAGGAACCCAGCAGTTAGTGTAATGGCTATGTCGCTGGACTCCCATGTAGTCGACTGTGGTTTGAGTCCCGGACCCAGTGGCTTAAACTCACACCCGGCACGTGTGCATGCATGCCCAAGATCCCGAGAGGAGAATGGAGAAGAAGGGATTGTGGCATGGCCATTCCTCCTGGGGGGTGATTTCTCGCTTTCTGTCTCTCTATCTCTCTCTGCCTCTCTGGCGAGTGCATGTGCCCTATAGCAAAAACCTCTCTAAGAAAAAAAAAAAAAAAGAAAAAGAGGAGAAGCACAGTAAATTGGGTGTTGGGGCAGCCTCAGAACACAGCAGTTAAATATGGTGCAGAGGAAGCCAGGTCCTACGCAGTGGACCAGGTTCGAGTCCCTGACCAGTAGCTCACAAACACATGGGGCATCCTCTTCGCCTTTATAAAGATGGCAGGTGAAAAAGCTGAGAAGCAGGATACTAAGAAGAAACCTGAAGCCAAGAAGGCTGATGCCAGTGGCAAGCTTAAAAAGGGTGACCCCAAGGCAATAGAGCCCAAGAAGGGGAAGCCCCATTGCAGCTGAAACCCCGTCCTAGTCCAGGGCATCTGCAGATACTCCCGGTCTGCCATGTATTCCAGGAAGACCATGAACAAGAGAAAATACTCGGCCACTAAGTCCAGGATTGTAAAGAAAAAGAAGAAGGGTCTTGCCACGGTCACAAAACCAGTTGGTGGGACAAGAATGGTGGTACCCAGGTGGTTACACTTTACAAAGTGCCTAGGTATTATCCCACTGAAGATGTGCCTCGAAAGCTGTTGAGCCACAGCAAAGAACCCTTCAGTCAGCATGTGAGAAAGCTGCGAGCCAGCATCGCTCCTGGGACCATTCTGATCACCCTCACTGGACATCACAGAGGCAAGAGAGTGGCTTCCCTGAAGCAGCTGAGCAGTGGCTTGCTGCTTGTCACTAGACCTCTGGTCCTCAATCGAGTTCCACTGTATAGAACACACCAGAAATTTGTTATTGTCACCTCCACAAAAGTTGGTATTAGCAAAGTCAAACTCCCCAAACACCTCACTGATTACTTCAGGAGAAAGCAGCTGCGGAAGCCCAGACACCAGGGAGGTGAGATCTCCAACACAGAGAAGGAGAAATACAGGATTACAGAGCAGCACAAGGTTGATCAGAAAGCTGTGGACTCGTGAATTTTACCAAAACTCAAAAATGGGTCCTCAGGGGACCAGCAGTTAGCGTAATGGCTATGTCGCTGGACTCCCACGTAGTCGACCGCGGTTCGAGTCCCGGACCCGGTGGCTTAAACTCACGCCGGGCGCGTGTGCGTGCGTGCCCAAGATCCCGAGAGGAGAATGGAGGAGAAGGGATTGCGGCGTGACCGTCCCCCCTGGGGGGTGATTTCCTGCTTTCTATCTCTCTGTCTCTCTCTGTCTGTCTGGTGAGCGCACGCGCCCTATAGCAAAAACCTCTCCAAAAAAAAAAATGGGTCCTCAGCTCCAGGGCTACCTGCGATCTGTGTTTGCCCTTACGAATAGAGTTTATCCTCACAATTTGGTGTTCTAAATTTCTTGCCAAGATCCTAATCAAATAATATTAAAACACACGCACACACACAGGGCATGTAAAATACAGAGCGGTATCAGCTAACAAGGGTAGGTGTGCAGTAGAAGAGAACCCCTTTGTCATAGGGGCTTCTGCAATGTGCAAACAGAGCTTGAGAGTGACAGTTGGCATGGACCCCCTTCCTTTAATCCCGCCGGGTTCGCATCCCTTTCTGTGAAGCCCTATGGTGGGGCACTAAATGGAAACCACAACCACATCTGGATGCAACCTGCCAGAACCTCTGGATTC